CTTCTTCAAGAGTTTTGTATAAGCCTGCATTTGTGAGAGTACTTTTGTGAATGTTAAGTTCACATGAACTTGTTTCAGCATATCCAGAAATTTCTCAAACTGATTGTCAAGCTTTTCTCTGTATAGCTTTTGTAGGAAAGGTAAAACAGGCATATGCTTGCTCTCTTCAGGTTCCTCCCTTCTCAAAACCTCTTCCTTATTCTTTTTCTCAACTCCCTTCTTGCTTTTCTTCTTCTTATCAACATCAGTTTTCAGTTGCTCTGCTTTTTTTTTCAAGTTCCACATCTTTTCTTTCAACACTTGCCCACTTCTCAAGGTTACATCATTTACTGGTTCTTTGGGGTTTCTTTCAGTATCAGAGGGTAGAGTACCTGGGACTCTCTCAGATAATATTGTTGCAATATTTCCCACTTGCTTTTCTAGATTTTGACTTGCCGCCCTTTATACCTCAAATCTTTCATCAGTTTTTACAATAAAGGCTTTTATGAGATCTTCAAGAACAGGCTGATTAGGTTGTTGAGGGTGAAACTGCTTCCTCTACTGATTCACAAAACTGGGAGCTCCTTGCCCTTGAAATCTGGGGTTTTTTCTTGCCATGCATTAACAGTACCCCCATGAATGGGCCACGGGCAGTGATGATCTATACTTTATGACACACCAAAATTTNATGTTATACTTTGTCCTCAAAGAAGCTGAAGAAATTTTACTTGTCACACAAATATCTTCTAAAACTTCAAAAGAAACCAAAAACAAATAAACACAACACAAGAATATAAGTTCCCACGATCAGCCAAATTCAGCTTCACCATAAGTTTACCAGTCTAATATATCAGTAATCTATATACCGCACACAGCTGACTAACGATCAGCTTGGGCACGTTTATGCATCCACTCATACCTGAGTATCAGTGTCTCGATCGCCTCCTAACCCTGCAATATTAGCTCATGTAAGTCCCCTACTATATAAAAAATGAAGCGGTCAGACACTCGCTAAACCTTACCGAGGTGAACGAGACCGGGAAATGGAACGAGAAAGCGAGTGGGAACTAGAGTAAGAACGCGACGGTGAGTGTGAGCGTGAGTGAGAGCGAGTCCGCGACCATGAGCGAGACCTGGAACGTGAACGGTATCTACGAGAACTCCTTTCCCGGATAGGACTCCGGCTAAGTCGGTGCCTTCAACCATAGTACATAATTCAGACATTAACAGTGAAATATAATAACTTGCAGAGCAAAATATTGAGAAAGTTAACCAATTTGCGGAGCAATATTGTGGCATTGACAGTTAACATGAGCTAAAAGAACATCTAACACTCGCCGGCTTCATCCACACCATTTTATAGTTTCTACCACTGACGCCCAAGCGTCTGAGGTTGAATAAATTCTCTAGAATTTCTTCAATGAATCACTTCTGTTTCCTCTTATTGTAACTTTCTTTTGACAAGTTATGCTCTTTTTTCTGTTTAATAAAAACGAACTCTTTTCCACCTTGACAATTCCTCTTTCCCAGTTTACATAACATAATAGTTTTTGGGGAAAGATACTAAGAATTATTTTCCAACATTTTAAATACTTCTAATTATAAAAACTTCATTCACTTTTATGTAGTTCTTTACTCAGAAAATTTTGTTCCAAACAAATAAGGAATTGACGGCCATTTCACACTAAAAGATAGATATTTTGATCCTTGTACTCTGAACCAACAATTCCTTTTACAATTAAGAGAGTATCAAATATGTATATCTCAATTGGATCGCACGAAATTCATGAAAATGCAGAATATTACTACAAAAGCCCCCCTGTTTGCGAAGCAACTGAGTAATAAACTGGTTTTGAAACTCCCAGTAAATTGTTAAGGTGAGCCACAAGTTCTTCAGGAGATCTCCAAAAAATAAAACAAGTGACTGATTAGATAGTTAAATCTCCCTCTTAACTATAGGAATTCCTAATATTCAGCAGTCTAAAAGGACCAAGTTTCTCTACTTTTAATTTTCTTTGCCTTTGTTAGGAGCTTTAATGTGAAAATCTACGTCAGACAGCAAATGCATTTTTTAAAAACACACAACCACCAAGGGTGTGGCCTAGTGGTCAATGAAGTGGGTTAAGAACCATGAGGTCTTAGATTCAGTTCCCAGTGGAGAAAAAACGCTAGGTAATTTCTTCCCATCTGTCCAAGCCTCGATGGAAAGGGTTACCTGGTACCTATTGATGTTGCTGGAGGGAGGTAGCGCGTATCTCGTGGAATTAGTCGAGGTGCGCACAAGTTGGCCCGGACACCACGGTAAATGGAAAAAAAAACACGAACAAACAGATTCAAGCAAGCAAATTCCAACTCCCTTTTCCTCGAAAAGAAAAAAAAGCACTCCCACATCCTTGACTTAACAAAATCAAGGACCAGTTTTTCAATTGCGTTACTCCTAGTCAAATTAGCGAGCTCCATTTAAAGTTAAATGTACCCAAAAGACAGAGAAAAACACAACCCCCATTTCACAAATCCATCAAGAACAAACTTGAGGAGGTATTTGTTTGGAATTTCGTCTTTAGTTGAGAAGGTTAGGGCTATCAAATCTCTGATATTGAAGGAAAAAGAGCAGCCTTGGGTTCGTACTCTTTGAATTTTCAGGAATTAAGGCAACAATAGACATATTTTGAATAAGGTTTCACCTAAAGCCATAATGATGAGGGATGGAGACGAGGGCTGAAGAGAGCTGGGCATACACACTTGCTGAAAACACAAATAAGAGGACCAATAACTGAAAGAAACTTTGCTTTGACCATCTCGTTTTAAACCGCATTACCAATTACTTGAAAGGTCTGGGCACAACCTATTTTGATTCATCTAGTCTTTAGACACTTCCCCAAACCACTGACTTTGTAGACATGCAGGTTTCGGAATCACACTATGTGAATAGGCGAACTAACTTTGTAGACAGGAATTATGGCCTCTAGCTCCACCAGCATGCATCTCATAGACAGGCATCGCTCAGTTAATCACTAAATTCACAAATCCATTTAAATAAAGAACCAACTACATAAAGTGTAAAGGAACTTTAAGGAACACCAGATCATAAACTTAGGCAAGACAATACTCACTTTTGACAAATTCAACTATCTACTCATCAAGTACACTATAACAAGTAGGATCGGTATTAGTACCTTCGAGGGGAACGGCTGTAACTTCTACTACGGCTTCGGCGACGATACCGACTTACTCGGCTTGTTTCTGCAAGCTTTTCAAGCCTCTGTTTCTCTTGTTCTCTTTTCTTGGCCATCTCAACAGCTGTATCTTTCTTGACTGCAAAAGACATCATTTAGGCAAAATGTACAATGCATTGCATGCAACAATATGACCCACATAATCATACAAAAAGAAGAAGAGTTTTCATAAAAACACATGAACAGAGATGAGATCCTCATTCTTGTTATATCGCAGAATGCAGCACATTATAGAAGACAAACGGTTTACTCCGGATATGCACATGAAGTAATGTATACTTTGTTTGTTCAATTGTTTGCTCATTATCCGCTTAAGTCGCTCCTGAGGTGTTTCCTTCTTTTCACCCTGCTGTTTAGAGAGGATTGAACTGCTAGTTGTCTTGTTTAACTTTGATAATGCTGATGATGCACTGCAAAGACCCAAAGAAGAGGAAAAATTAATAACTAGCTTTTTGTTTTTTAAGGAGAACAAATTGAGAATTTGATAGCACACATCAACAAAAAGCACAAAAACATGTAGGGTCAGGAAGGACAAGCAGACAAATAAACAGAAAAACGTAAGGGTGTAGAACACAGACCTTGCTGGTGTTTTCAACATTTGTGCACTCTTATCCTTATCAACAGATACCCCAGATGCAGGATCAACATGAAGGGCCTCAAGAATACGACCAGCTGATGGCCTGCAGAAGAAGTGAGATATTAAACAAGAAATGGTTTGCGTTAACAAGGAAAACTGGACAGCGTCAAGTAAGTTCAATTCAGGGAAAATGAGCTTCAGATCGGAAGCTTGCTCCCTCTTCCCCTTGACAGTTATCTCACAGGTGTAAATTGATATATTCTAAACCACATTAAGTTCTTCAGCTAACAAATGGATGATAAGCTGCAGCAGAGAAAAGACTGTCCAATCTAGCTTTGCAAGAATTAAAGGTCAAGTGCTCCGACCGGTTTAATGGATCAGTTCGAGACGGAGGAGACGGTGGTGGAGAATATCCTTCAAATTTAGGCTCACTCTCATCGTCTGCGCCACCAAATTCAGTGATATACTCTATTTTCGGAGCTCTCTCCTTGCCTTGGTAAATATCATCAGATTTTCCTCCACGTTCATAGCGTCTTGAATGAGGAGGCGAGTATGAGAGAGACCTTGACCTGGACCTGTGCAGATGGAATAAAAAAAAGATTAAACCAACATTACACAGACTATTATCAATTTCAGAATGTATAATAAAATAACAAAGATAACAAACCTTCTGGAACGTGAATAAGCTTCGTATGTTGGACTCCGTCGAGACTCGCTGCATAAAGAAGGAGAGAAAAGAGAGTGAGTGAGAACAATCCGTACAACTGGGATTTAATCTGCATTTAGGTTTTAAGTATACAAAAATGCAATAGATTGAACTAAAGTACCGATAGGGATCATGATGGAGAACTCTGCTCCCGGTAATGCGGGCTGCTTCTCTCTCCCTCTCTCTTTCTAATTGAGAAGCCTTCCTTCTTTCTTTGCGACTAAGTTTCCTCTGCAAAGGCATGATAAGTATGACAGTACATATATAATTTAGCAACAGTTAAAGTCCCATATTTTAGCAGACTTACTATTGCAGGATCTCCCTTGATTACTTCTCTTTGCCTCCTTTCTTCCTCCTTTGCCTTTTTGTCCATGTAGACAAGCCATCCATACCTTTTCACTCCATAATCTTTGGCAATTGACTCCATCACTTCGTCGTTGCTATCATCACTGTTAAAATCTTCTTCCTCATCATCATCCTCATCATCATCACCATCTTCTTCACCATCTGAAAAGTGAGGCTCGTCTTTACCCTCTCCGTCATATGAGAAAGCCACTTGGGAATACGACCCCTTGCTCGCTGAAGGCAGAGGATTTTGAGGTCTGCAATACCGAGAATATTAGAAGGTAAAAACTGCCTTGCATGTTAGAGTAATTAATGTTAACACCCCATTTGAAAGGTGTAGTATCACAGAACACCAAGTAAACCCACAAACAAACAACATGTTTTCATTAATTGAAACACTCACTTGCAGCTGAAGCAAATCAAGACACTAAAGATTCATTAGAACAATATCTCTAGAGTTAACATCATTAAGCATCAAAATGTAAATACCCATCTAGAGAAGTATATTTTTTGCCTTCACATCACAAAGCTGATAAAAAGGTGAAAAGACCTTTTGCTCCTCCAACTCCTCCTTAGCTTCCTTAGGCCTAAAGTGTGTCAAAAAGTTCAGAAAATAATGTTTTTCCATGTATTTATACCAAGTAGGGTCGGGCCTAAACGAAACCACCTTTTCCAGCTGAAATAGGACATTTACACTGTACAAAATACATAAACGTGCCGCATGGGGCGACACGCCACGCGAGGCATTAGTTGATATCTTCAGAGAGCTCACCAATTGACAGGCAGCAGAATTGGGAAGGGCAGTGGGGTTTTCTCAGAGTACGGATCATACTTCGATTTTTAATGTCCAGACTTGGTCCTCGACCCACGAATATGATCCCGGCTTAATCCCTTGGGCTTTTACTCAGACTTCAAAGCTCCAATCACTC